GAACGTGGCCATGAGCCCCATCATCTGCTGGCTCTGCATGCTGGCCTGTTGTGCCTGCTCCCGCTCCCGCTCCCGCTGCTTGTCCTTCGATTTCTGCTGTAAGATCTGCAGCTCGAGCTTCTTCAGTTCAATGGCCATCTTCTTGTCGCGACGTGCCGATGTTTCCTTGATTTCGCGACTGTACAACTCATCGACACCATCGACATCGAAATCGCCAAGCGCGGGAGTGTCTTTCTTGGCCTTGTTCTTCTTCTATTCACGTCGTTGTCGGTCACCAAGCAGTCGCTAATACGATGACATACCTTTTCGCTGTTCCCCATGGGCCTAGCACCATCTCTCTTTCCTGCCGGGCCGCTGGCGTCGACTTTCTTGTTCTGCTTGGCCTTCGGGCGTTCATCCTCGTCGTCACTGCATGTTCGCCTCAGTAATGTGAAACGACGTAGCCGCGACACTCGCCTGTCAACGATGTCGATGGGGCTGGTGATGTTCTTCGCGTATTCATCGTCGATATCGCTCGTCTCGCCAGCTCCTCCGTCATCCATTTCCTCGCGTTCACCCCCAATACCATCACCAGCCTCGGACGATGCTAAACTGCTCTTGCCGGAAGCGAAGAGGCTGGAAGCCACTCCACTGTGGTCTTGACCGTGCTCGCTGTTGGAGATACCCGGAGGAACGATGCTGGGAATCTTGTTGAGCATCGGATGGAGCTCGTCCCAGAGAGGGAACTCGTTGCAGATTTTTGCTGTGCTGTGTAAGGGCGCAGAGGACGAAGGCCCGCCGACGACGCACCTATCTGATTGGTGTATGCCTCTCCCTCCTTGAGCCCGCCGCCGGTTTCCTTCAAAGACTTTGCATGGTTGCTGTACTCTGTTTTCAAGCTGCACAACGACTCAGTCATAGCCTGATCTCGACGACAAGAGACTTACCGGCCCCAAAACTGGATGGTGGACCTCACAAAGTCACTGGTATTCGCTTGGTACTTTGCCTGCCACTCTCGCTCCCCGTCGGTCTGGTCTCTGTCGAAAATGTACTTGGTGACCGGACCGAAGGCAACGTCCTTGGAGTCCTTTCCCGTCTTCTTCTTCCTGCCCTGGGCCTTTGCATCCTCGCTGGAGTCTCCGAGGAGTTTTGTGCGCTCGGTGGGATTGTCTGTGAGCCATTCGACAAAGCGCTCGCCGAATGCGGGTGTCTTCGCCCATGGGATCGCCTCGGCACGGGCTTTCTTCGGGACCTTGCCGTCAGCCGGTTCTGAGTCCGACACGGTGTCGGGGGCGGCACGCTTTGGTGCTTTGGGGTGCTTGGGCGGCATCTGCGCGGGGGTCGGGAGAGGTCAGAGATATGCTTAGGAGGTGGCGGCGCAAGGGGCACGGGACAGCCATCAAAATAGAACAAAAATGAAAATTTGAAATTGGGCGAGCGATGCAAAAGCAGCTCCAGAGCTGCTTTTGCATGGTTGACAAAATTTTGGAATTCCATTTTTGATGGGTAAAATCAGAACGAAAAGCAGAATCAAAATCACATCGAAAACGCGTCGAAAACGAGCGCGTGAAACACCCTAATGATACCGAAGGTGTGGTACACTGTCGCTCAGAGTGAAACGAAATGCGTTATCGTTATGATCTTCGTATTCTTCGTGCATGAACTAACTAGCTATGATAATATGTACACGTACGTATTCGTAGTAAAACTAAAGGAAAATCCCAACTCCAGAGACACTACTTCTCGTGGCTCGCGCTCCCCTTTTCGTCGACGGGCGTGGACGTGCCGTTCGTCAAGCCGAATTCTGCGGTGTTGGTATCGGTGAGCTGAAGCTACAGAAGGGAAAGGAAAGAAAAACGCACGGTCGACCTTGGTGTTCTTGAACCTCCACGCAGGGACTTTGTTCTCGAAGAGGATGTCCAGCTCGCCGTAGGAGCGGCCCATCGCTAGCCTTGTGTCAGTAACGCGCAAGCAAAGCAGGAATGGAATGAAACGCACTCTCAGGCAAGCGGACCCAACAATATATCGCGCTCAGCGATGCGAACACAAACCAGAATATCCCGCTCTTGGGGCCCCAGTTCCACGCGGTGGGGCTCAACATCCTCGGTACGATGATCCCGCAAATGATATTCATGACCTGGTAGGCACACCGGGCAAGGACGATGGTCTTTGCGCGGAGACGGGTGGAGCCGACCTCGGCGATGAGCACGTAGCAGACTGCGCCGAGAGTCGCGTTGTAGGTGAAGTTGAGGGCGACGAGCAGCCCGCCCGAAGCCCATTTGGCGCCGGGGGACGGGTGGAAGCCCAGTGCACCGATGATGGCGAGGACGATGGCCATGGCGACGAGTCCCGAGATGTAGAGCGTGCGTCGGCCGAAGCGGTAGAGGAGGAACCACGAGGCGACGGTGCCGATGATGAACATCGAGTTGAGTGCGAGGTTGACGTCGAAGGCGGCTGTTTGCCCGAGTCCAGCTTGCACGAAACTACGTTCAGGGTTTAATCCGCATGCAAAGACACAAGGAGAAGAAATACGCACAATTGAACGCCCTGGCCAATCAAGTTCTCCCCACTCAACAGCTGAATGGCAAACACCATCATCGCGATCTCCGTCCGCCGCAAGTCGATGCCGGTGAAGCACTGCAGATACGATGTGCCTGCCTGTAGCTCGCGCTCGATGGCGGTGGTGTGGATCATGTTCGCGACGGAGCGTTTGGCTTCTTCTTCCGAGAAGAGCTCGGGATTGGTGAGCCGGCGGACAGAGCGTTCGGCGTCGTCATGGCGGCCTGCAAACAATTCCGTTAGTGATCGGCAACAGAAAGACACAGAACGCACCCTGTCGAACCAACCACCATGGCGACTCGGGAGCGTAATAGGCTCCAATTATCAACGGGATGGGCCACACCCATTGAATAACAAACGGCAGACGCCAGCCCCAGTCAGAGTTGATCGTAATGGTCGCGCGCACGACGCCGGAGGAGAGGAAGATGCCGATACCCCAGCACATGTTGATGTATGCGGTGAGGTAGTGTCGCAGGACGATAGGGCAGACTTCAGAGGCGTATGCGGTCGTGAGGGTTTGGAAGACTATCATCCGGATGAGTGGAAGGAAGGAAGAACGATAACGAGTAAAACGCACCTCCCCAAAAAAGCCCACAAACAATCTCGCTGGCGGTCAGGGCAGCCAAGGACTGGCTGAACACAGGCCCAAAGATACTGATTATCATGCCGAACATCGAGAAGATGTAGGTCCGTCGCGGGCCAAACCGCTCGCTCGCCCAGCCGTTGATCATGAGTCCAATGATACCGCCCACGGAGGACCCGTTGCCCAACCCGGATTGCCACGGCGCAGGAATGAGCTTGGTCCCAGTAGCCGGGTTGACGATACCAAAGCGTTTCAGGAACGCAGGGTGTTCATAGAACGAGGCAATCTACATGCAACCCTCAGATTTCATGCAGAGAACAGAGAAAGAAACAACGCACGACGACCACATCATACCCCTCCATGATCAACGCCGCGCTCAAGACGACACTCCAAAAGACGGCCTTCTTGTGGATGCGAAAGGCCTCGCGCATGCTCATCTTGTGCTCTGCTGCGTCATTCTGGGCTGCACCCCTCACGACCTCGGCGTAGTTGTCGATGTCGTGGGCCAGCCGGTCGGCATGGGTGTGCAGAACGCCAGATGTGGGGTCTTCGCTGGAGGCCATTAGCGCTAAGAGGGCGGAGGACGAAGAAGCACAAGAAGCGGGCGGCGTTTTTTAATAAAAAGTGGGTTCCACGCCTGACCGCGCCCATCATGTCGGCTGACCTGCATCGGGGCATTGTCGGCAGCGGAAAGGCCGGCCCGCGGGCGTACAGACGGCGTGCCTGAGAATGAAAGCTGGTCCGGCCCGGCCGGGTTCCAGGCAATGGAACGGAGACGCCCGCTCTCCCGCACACACCATTGATTGGCGGCCGCTGCTCGCCTAAATGGGGACTCGTCGGCGTTTCCTTTGCTCAGTGATTGTCGAGGATCGTCGGCGTTCCTGAGTGAAAGGTCCAGGCAAGGTCCAGGACAAGGAGGAGGTCGTGGTAGGGAGCAAGATGGTGGATGACAAAGAATTTGTTGTAGGTCGTCGGCCCCTGATCCAAACAAAGACAACCTGTCAACCCGCCATTCAATTTTCACTGAGCGATACTCATACTGTACCCTATCGACTGGCACCCCCAGTGTTAAATCACTTGCAAGACTTGGAACTCTTGACTCTGTCGCAAGTTCTCGCTCAGTCTCGCGGCTGATTGACTACTAGTATAGTGACCTCGACATTCCTAGTATGTAGTCTCCACTGGCAGCGCCGTGCTGCCCCATCCGCTGGGCTTGTACATTGCCAGTGGTGAGCCTTTCTCGCGGAACGGTCCGTTCGATTCGGCCGGGTACCTTTATCAGTTGGAATAAGTCACGTTTTTTCTCTCCGAACTCTGTTCGTGGCCACTCTCGTTCACTTGTATGGCCATTATACATGCAGTCCCCAGCGCTGTGTTGCGCATTCGCTTGGCTTAGAAGCGCTGTAGTTCCGTCCGCGGAAGGGTCCGTTCGATTCGGCAGGGGACGTTACATGAACCAGTCTCCTTTGCATTTTCTTATTATTACTTTTCATGCTACTGAGACCGTGCGCGAATGATCTTGGAGGCAAAATAATGTTCGAAAAACGACAAACCACAAAAGGCCGAAGCAGTCCACCCGGAATCGTGCCGAGTTGTAAAGCATGACATCGGAATGCCCACGAACTCGGACTTCCAATGTGTGAACAAGGGGTACTTATATCCTCCTGTTGCTGACAACGGTAGATGGTGCTTTGATCCATAGGACCAACTCAACATGTACGCAAATAAATAAACAAGTTGGACGAAAATAAAGAAAAAGTAGATAGACCAGAAGATGATCTGTTTATCTGACTAACACCATAGGCAGATAAACAGATCATGCTCTGGTCTAGCTGCTTTATTAACATAATGGTAGAGCACAACAAGGCAGGCAAAGAAATGGCTGCTCTAGGAGTCAAACCCAGGCCTCCTAGCCGTGTGAGCTGACGTGCTAGACAACTGCACTAAGCATCAATTCCGTAGATTGTGGCGAGGCGTGCTCTACCATTGTGATGAAAGGCCCACACCGACCCGGTCTTCCGATGCTATGATCCGATTCAACGAATATTCAACATTCATACTAGAGTGAACCCAAATAATTCAACCCCGCAGTGCTGCTCTGCACACCCGCTACAACTCAACGCGTCATCTTCGTGTGCGGGTTGGCCCGTTCGATTCGGCCCGGGGGAGTATGAATAGCCCGAACACTGTTTTTTTTTTTCAACTTGGCTTCAATTTTTCATCCTAGACAAGATAGTTATTGCTATTGCTATTTTTTGCTAATGATCTTATTATCGGCTTCATTTCTGCTAGCTGATATCTAGGTGCAAAAGGACAAGGGAAATATCAAGCAAGCATGGTCCCTCCGAGTGTCGTGCATTGCCAATTCGTGAATTCCTCAATCTACACCAACACATCTGTGGTATTCGTACTGGCCTCTTCCACGACCTGCTCACGGTGCCCATGCGTATCGACAAATTCCGCCTCGTACTTATGGATGCCCTTCTCCAACTTGAAGATCGCCCAGTTGAAATTGATCAACGTGTACCCCATTCGTTGGCGCACATGCGGCTCCCACCCGCGAGGGAGACGTTCTTCGCAGAGGATAATCGAAAGATCGTCAACGTGTCCGCCGAAGACCGTCCGGAGGGTGGACGAGCTGTAGCAATCGGCGTTAACGGATGCATGCAGTATACTACCTACCCCGGGCCGAGAAAATGAAATCGAAACGCACTTGCCGCTCCCAAACACCTTATGCGCCTTCGCTAACGAGAAATCCGGGTTCTTCGCGCGTGCTTCGACGCGGCGTTTGGCGGAGTAGCGTTGCAGGTCGGAGAGGGTCAGAAGACTGTTGCTAGTGCCGGCAGAGTCTGTCCCGGAGGCAGAGGCTAGTAGCTCGTTGATGAACGGGAGATAGGGCTTGTCCTGGTCAGGATCGAATTTATGGTCCTCGCCTGGAGCCTTTGTGAGAAGGAGTGAAGAGGGGGATAGTATGACGTACGGGTGAGAGAAGCGTCGTGTTCGATGCCGTTGTGAAGGTTGAGGTCCGCGAGGTCGAGAGTATCCTAAGGCTGTGTGAGCTACCTCATGCAACAAAGACAAGTCTCGGAGTAGTAGCACCTTGTGAAAGTCCTTGTGGAGAATATCGGCGGCGGACTGAGGTACAAAACGACAGAACGTCGGAGCAAGGTTGTACGTTGCGCGCATTTTTTCGCTCAGATCCCGAAAGCTGATATTTCGTCCGTCGTGGGGAAGGATGCCTTGGAATCGTGCAAGTCCTCGTTAGCCAGGAAAGATGTATGCATCACGGCAACATGCACGCACCATGGTTGGCCATTGCATTCAGCCCGGGGCAGCAGCTTCGACTATCGCCTTCCTTCGGCGCCACGTACTCCGGCCAGTCTCCACCCGCTCCCGACGCCCCCGGGCGCACAACGTTCCCGAGCCTACGCTCCGGTGTGAGGAAGTTGAGGAGGGTGAGCCAGGCGTCCCAGGTGAGGATGTAGAGGTTGAAAAGGAGCTTGATCATCGAGTCGTGTTGTGGACTTGACAAGACAAGCGGGGTGGGAGGTGAGAGGCATTCGACCTATTTAAAGGCAATTTGGATGGCAGCGGGCAGGGCGAGGGGGAGTCGATGATTATGCGGAATAGAGCGGCGGACTCGATGCATTTAGTCTCGCCGCGCTGTCCGCTTCGAATGGCAGGTTTCACGGAAAGGCGTCTTGAAGCGAAGTAGGAAATATGGTCAGATTTCCACCGAGCGAGCAGCCACGGGAGAATCAGGGTTCCCTGGGGCGTCAGTCTGTGGGATAGAGAGACTTTCACCGCGAAATATCAGCTACTCGTAGATTCCCGGTCTTCTACCGCAATCATAATCCGCGACCCAGCACGCAGCGAGCCCAACGCATGGAGCCGGATTGTGGCAACAAAGTGTAACATCCGACTTTTGAAAACATAGCGTAAACCGCCACAGTCGGGCTCGGCTCCGACGGCTCGTCCTCGATCTAATCCACCATGTCAGGGGGAAGCCGGTTTTGTGGAGTGACTTTGATCGCTTCCGCGGACTCAAACCGTACAGGAGCAACCCGCACACATGTTCAAGTTGCTGTTTTCTAGATGTAGATTGCGAACCGGATGGACTGTTATCTGTCAAGTTTCACGACCGGCCGACACTGGCAATGGAAGAAGAAATAAGACGCGCACGGTTATTGTCTTTGAAATGCATGAGACTGCAACATAGCCCATTCCGTGGCGAGACATTGCGGTGTTGCGTCACCCCTCCATTTGAGACCTATTCATCCGTTATCCGGGTACCGCCCTGAGTTCCGATTGAGAGTCTCAGCTTTTCCGTGAGCGATATAAGGCCCACACTCACCCGCTCTCAGTCGCCCACACTCTCATCTCACCTTATCCGCAAACATGTCCTCGTCGTCGTTCTCCGCATGCGCATCTACCTCCTCGCGCTACTCCACTGCTTCTGGTGAGCTGCGCCGGCGCTCACGCGGGTGTTCGGGTGCCAGCAACACCAGCGGTACCTCGAGTCTCGATGAAGCGACCAAGGAGGCGCTGGGGCTCCAGAAGGAGGTGCTTGCTGGGAGTAGACCTGTGAGTTATCTTGGGTGTTTTTCGCCTCGTAGAGGTTCTGACAAGGTGTTATCGCAGGATGGCATCGCCGAGGATCTCGAGCGCGAAAGCGAGGGGCTGGCTGACCCTATAGAGGTGAAGGGTGCGTAATTTGGCTGTTCTTGGTATCAGTCTTACTGACACGGAAACAAGGCAATCGCTCGCATACACGCACCACATCCTGGTACGGTGGTATTGGCGCTGGAGCCCTGCGAACGATCAAAACAGTCACCACTGGAATCCCGGCGGCAGTCGCAGTTGGTGTCGCACGCACCCGCAGTTTTTCTAAGCCCCAGGGTCCCGCTACGGGGTCCATCTCGCAGTTCCACGAAAGCACAACGGAGCAGAAGGCACAGGTCATCATGATGAAGCAGAATCACCGCCGGACATCGTCGTTGTTGGGAAAGTGGGGTCGTGCCAGCGGGTTGGTTGCGGCCACGGCTTAGGCGGCCCAGGTTGATAAATGCGAATGTTTCCTTTAAAGTTGCTTCGTGTTTGGTATGATTTGTGTAGTTTGTGATAATGGAACGTGATTCTGTGCGTTTGCGACGGAGGGTTGCTATCAGCCGATGTGTTGACTCGGAGATGGTGGACGAAGAGAAAAGCGAGTCAGTCACGGTCACATATTATCGTCCCTTGCTTCCCACCACCATCATCATGTGGAACGAGCAGTTCTTTCCATGTACACGTATCCAGGCATATGGAGTTTCCCGAGTCTCATACCGCTTCGGCTTTTGCGTCCTTTTCCTTCTCCTCCTCCTCTTTCCGATACTTCTCCTCGTCAATCCCCCTCTCCACCTGGGCCGTGGTCCGGTTAAAGGCAAAGAACGTCACCCCTTTGCGGGAGCGATTCTTCGACTCCCAATTATCCGGTAACCTCTCTTCCTTCAAGAACACCTCAAGGTCGTCCACCTCGCCACCGAATATCGCTAGCAACGTCGACGTACTTGAAAGAACCTTCAGCTCTGCGCAAGAACTATGCGGAGAAGAAAACTGCTCACTTGGCGCTTCCGAAGATCTTGTGCGTTTTGTCGAGCATGAACTCGGGGTTCCGGGTGCGAGAGTCGCTGCGGCGTTTACTCGAAAACTTGGACAAGTCCGCCGCGGTGAGGACGGGTTTGCCGGTGGAATCTTTCCCCGATGCAAGGGAAAGCAACTCGTTGATGAATGGGATATGCGGCTTTGATTGGTCTGGCTCGAAGTACGTGTCTTGGCCTGTTGCTCTCCGGTCAACAAACTGCCAGCGGAAGAAGGGGAAAACGAAACGCACGAAGCAAGGACGCGTCGTGCTCGATCTCGTTGTGCTTATCGAGCTCGGCCAAGTCGAGCGTATCCTGGCCAGTGGGTTAGTGATATCTACGTGGACAAAATCCAACGCACCTTGTTATAATCCCTCTTCAGCATGTCCGACCCGCTATGTACCGTAAAGCTCGAGAAGGTCATCGCAAAGTTGTATGTCTCATGACACCGCAGCGTCATGTCTGTGAACTTGATGTTACGGCCGTCTAACCCTCGTCAGCCATAAGCGACCAAGTCAAGACCCCGCACGTACCATGCGGCAGGATTCCATGATTCGCCATTGCGTTGAGGGCGGGACACGCGCAGCGGCTGTCGCCCTCGCCCGGCGGTACGTATGTCGGCCACCGAGACTCTCCCTCGGTACGTGCAGGCCGTGGAAGTGAGGGCAAGACCAAGTTGAGGAAGGTGAGCCACGCGTCCCAGACGAAGATGCGGATGTTGAGAAAGAGCTTGCCGATGCCTTGGAACAGCATTTTGGAGGATTGACGGAGAGGGGAGAGGAGAGGAGAGAGGGCGGCGGGGTACAGAGAAAGGAAGGGTTAAGTATAAAACGTGAGAGAGATAGACGCCCTGCGGCGGAGAACTCTACTGGTAGATCACTTCTTCTTGACAGGTCAAATGGATAACCGGCGATGTCGCAATGCCGGTCTCGGAGGACTTCGGTCTTGAGAGATTCTGAAGTTCTCTTTTACCCTTCGCCAGGGCTTATGAATACCATATGTCCTCATTGGATTCTCTTCTCAAGCTGAGACGCGTTTTCTCCACTGCCGTCGGCAGAGACTTTCATTCCGATTGTCACGAACTGGCAGTCTCATTCAGTCAGGCTATCATCCCGATGTCAAGTCGCCTAAAAGTATACGTAAATGCGCGATAAACCAAGTTAAATGCAAGGCGTCGATCCATATGTGCAGCAGGACAAGGGAAATATTCCGCAATTTTACACCAAGCCATCTGTGCTCCTCGTATTGGGGGCCACCTGTTCCCCATCTTCCACCGCCTGCGCATGAACAAACTCTGCCTCATACTTATCGATGCCCTTCTCCAACTTGAAC